ACTATTGTTTTTTACTTTATTTTATATTTAATATATAGAATATTTATTTATTAACAGAAATGATTCATGATAATATCATAGATTAATTCATCATTCGTCATCGTTCATATAATTTTGATCGATTAAAAAGCTTATTGAATAAAGCAGATTTCATCATTAGCTAATATCAGGGAGTAAACACTTTCTGATTGTTTATTTATAAATTAAACAAAATTGAGACTAAAACTGTTAGTATAAATTATCAGTTATGTACTATGAAGCTAATTTGCAAAATTTAATTTTTTTCAGGGGTGCAAGAAAAAATCCGTTTTTCATTTTCATGTATAGTAATTGATACTACAATTATAGTAATTGATACTAAAATTATGGTAATGGACTAATATAGTAATTGATACTAAAATTATGGTAATTGATTAATATAGTAATTGATACTAAAATTATGGTAATTGACTAATATAGTAACTGATACTAAAATTATGGCAGATATTCCAAATTTTTACCATCGTCTGTCGTTATGTGTAAAATTAGAATTTGAAAATGTTGATTTCAGAGTGGGAATGAAATAAAAATTTTAGTAATGATTGGGTAATAAGAAGTCTATCAAGATTTAAAAGATTTAAAAAGGGGTGACTAGATTTATTTCTTTTAATTTTACGTTGTCATCTTCCGTCTTTTACCCTTTCCTCTCTCTGCCTCGCTCTCTCTCTCTCTATTTTACATTTAATAAAGAAATTCTTTCTTATAATACTTGCCGGCTGTTATACATGACTGCTTTTTCAACCATCACTTTTGAATCTTTGCTAACAATTTTTATAAACAAATCGATTGTTTCACTTTAACGTCGTCATCATCATTTGATGTTTCCATTAAAAATTTTTCGTGCTAATTTATTTGCTTAAAAATTTTCTTCTCACATATTTGTTTATTGATTTTTGGAATGGAATTTAACGATAATCGTGTAGTTTTCTTAAATTACTTTGAATAGGAAAATATTTATAGCATTTGATGATAAACAGTTGTCAGTATAATATACCTTTTGCTTTTGAAGTTACATCTCTAATAATAATCATTGGAATGGTTTATATTCCATTTAAATATTAGTCTATTTCATTTCATATGATTTGATAACATATTGATTTATTACTTATCAATTATCAATAACTAGAATTTCGGGAATGTATAAAAAGTATGAATGGAATTCCATTTGTATCTATTGGAAATTGTATAGTTGAAAAGTTTCCATGATATTCGACGGAATGTTTGATAAATCGAAAAACCGAATAACTATTTTCTCATATGAAATTTCCATTCTTATCGTTACAAATTATTTAATTTCAAAGTTGTTAAATTCAATGGACATTTTAGTGTTTGATAGATAAACACTGATAGGATTGTTTTTGTTTGCACATATGCTGTTATCACTGATAAAATATGCTTTACTAAAATATCATCTGATAATTTAACAATTTGTGTCATTAAATATGAATTTAATTCTCATAAGAATTCATCCTAAAATTCATAATTAATAAATGCTATATGTAATTGAGATGAGAAACATTTCAAACTTTTACCTCTCTAATTTAAGTGCATTTTTTGCTTTATTTTAATCGATTTCAGTTATTATTTAAGCTTTCTACGCTTTCTACGTGTAATCATCATTTCCTACGTGAGCTAATTATACATTTAAAATTATTTGCATAATGTAATGTCGCTTAAATATTTAAATATATATATGCATTTAAAAATTATTTCCGTGTAATATCGCAACTGAAAAGTTTTGTTCATTTTGCAATGATCGTTATAGCAATACAGCCCCATTTAATTTAAATGATAAAATTTAAGAAATTTTCTTTTTGGTTAAAAGTTTTCTAAATTTTACATTTAAAATATTGCTTAAAAACTGGTTGATATTTGAAGTAATTTTTTTCGCATCATTCTAATGTCGATTTTAAAATTTCATATTTCAAGTTGCAGCTTTATCATTCTGTAACGAAGGCTATGAATGATTTGATTTTTGGTTTTTAATTGATTCATTTTATGGCTGAGAAAAAAATCTAATTAGTTTGAAAATGTAATTAATATGTAATTAGTTTGAAATAGGAAGTAATTTGCGAATGATGGAATATACGATAATGACTTGAGATTAGAGCTTTTTTGTTTAAAATTCTAAAATAAGCCATTTTTTTTTAAAAAACAGATTCTAATTTTTAGAAAAAGAGATGTAATGTTTTAGTTATAATTAAATACATTCAGTGATTCACTAGCCAACAAAAATAATATTTTCATTTCCCGTAGAAAATAAAAAATGTTTTTGGAGAAAAACAAAGAAGCTAATTTAACCTTGTTATCATGAGAATTTCCTCGTATCGTTGATAATGACAGATGATAAAAGTTGAGGTGATATTCTAAGCTGTGATTTATTACACATTCATATTATGCTTACTGAAAATTCTCTCTCACTTCTCTGCTACGAATTTTTCATTCTTACTCAGTGAAAAGAATTGAATGAATAATAAATTAACCCATTAAAATTGGTAAGCCTTAAATTTTCATATTAATATATTTATTTATTTTAGGATTTTATATTTTTTCAAATAGCATCATTGTTTGAGATATGAACGTGAAATGTTTGCAAACATTTATTTGCTATATTTCAGTTGAATAGTTTTGAAATCTGTAAAATGGACTTTACTTCTTAATTAGATATTTCAACAAATTGTTTACCGATATTTTTAATGATGGGTTTCGTCTTTTCTAAATCAATAAATTTTACTGTATATTTAAATTTTACTATATTTATTTAAACTGGTAGGTAGTTTGAATTACACTTGCAAATTATTCCTATATTTTTATATTTCAGGTATTTTCCCAGGTTTTGATTTTTCTATTTTTGATATATGCTTATCATTTTCTTATCATGTTAAAACAATTTTTCCGACTTAAAGATTTGTATTTTTTATAAAAGACTTTCCTTTCTTTGTATTTTTATTTTTTTAAGGTAACTTTTTCGATCGACAGATTAATAATGTTCTTTGTTGGAGTTACAACATTATTGTATTAGTATTATTTTCTCATTAGCAAATCTTATATAGTATACGGTTGTTGGATAGAAGTAAGAAGTAATTGATTAACAAAACTATCAGCATATGATTAACAACTATTATCAGCATATATATACCGTATTCAACAGCTGATACTAATGCGAAAAAGAAATGTATCGTTTGGAAATTTTTCAGATTTATTTCTTCTCTCTTATGATGGTGAATAATTAAATAAACTAATAATAAACTTGCTTATTCGTTATTGAATTATCTCAATGAGAAGAATATCAGAGTGATTGAGAAAGATTTTTCATTATTACTATTACATATGAATCATTGTTTCATCTGATAAATTCCTTCCTCTTCCGCTATTGATAATAATCATCATTGTTTCTTTTCCTCTTCCTTCCTTCACCTCAGGCTATGTATATATATATATATATATATATATATATATATATGCAACAAATAAATTGTAACCAGTCTATCATTTTGAAGATTTCTTATCATCTGCTATATATATATATATATATATATCCTATATTTATCCCATTCTATTCAGTAGTTCAATGAACTATCAATCATAATTAATAGGTAGAGGAAAGATAAATGTAGAAGATTGCTAAGCGATATTTCATATACGTTTGATATAAATGATTTTTTATCATTAGGTAGGATGGATATTAGCTTAATAATTTTTGAAAATAATTTTAATTTTTCATTCATTAATTTTATGCATATTAATCGATCAATGGATCTCTTATGTCTTGTTGCATTGATGATATTATAATAAAATAAATGCTACATCATATCTCCTTTATTTACATTATCCATTTACCTTTATCTTAATCAATATTCATGTCCTATATCCATATAATATACCTGTAATTGTATTATATTCTTTTATATCATCAATTTAATACATCAAAGATTACTTTCATTCTCTTTGCTTCTATTTGTTTCTTTCTCATTTGCATTTGTTACGTACATTTGTTACGCACTCTCTTACGTACGTTTATTATACATCCTTTACGTACGTTTATTACATATTCTCTTACATACGTCCATTACACACTCTTACGTACTCTTGTTACACATTCTATTACGTACCTCTGTTGCACACTCCTACGTACGCGTGTTGCATATTCCATTACGTATGTTTATTACACACTCTTACGTACGTTTACTGCACACTCTTACGTACGCTTGTTACATATTCTGTTACGTACCTTTATTGCACACTCTTACGTACGTTTGTTGCACACTCTGTTACGTACGTTTGTTACGCACTCTCTAATTTCTGTTATTTTAATTTCTTTCAAAATTCATATTTCTTCACTCTCTCCTAATCCTTTTATGCTTTTTTAAATACATTTCTTCTTTCATACTTCCTCATCTTTTTCTCTTATGCAAATATCTTTCTTCAAAAATTTTTTCATAAATAATATATTCACTTCCGTATTTCTTCTTTTCATACATTTTGATTAATGAAATTTTAATTTAAGTGTGAGCTATTGCGACGACAATTATTAACTTACCTTTCTTTTTCCAATTAGAATATATGCAATTTAGAAAAATTAGAATATATAGGTATTTTAAATAGCATATCATGCCAATATTATAGAATATATTCTATTCACCAACGGTTATTTACACTTCTCGAATTTTTCAATTATTGACTAAAAGAGGTTGTATGAAATTTTAATTATCAATTATTGTTTGATTAATGTAGAAGTATGTGATATCGTAAATATTCGTTAAGAAATAGAATATTTTTCGTTTATTTCATTTTATGAGTTGTGGGAAATTTTGCAAACATTAAAGTTATTAATATTGATAATTTTGTTGTTTTTAGACGACGAAAATTGGCAATAATTTAATTCATTATTATGTTTCTAACAACTTGTACAGCTCTAATCTGAATTATTCTGATAAAAAGAAATTGAAAAGAGTAGCCGAATGAATGCAAATGATGTAATTTCACATAATGAAACAAATGGACCATCAACATCAAAAGAGCCACCTACAACAGGTAATGTTTGTTACTTAAATTTTCATTAAAGTATTATTTGGTTTTATTTTTATCACTATCCTTACAAGTTTACTTTTTTTTTATCCTGTAACAATCACTCTAGAATATGAGAGGTTATGAATTATAAATATTATATGAAGAAATGTGGGTGATAATATGAATATTAAATACAATATGAATAATGATGTAGTGTCATGAATTATGAATATGATAGGAGTCGTGAATATTATGAAATAATGTGATATTGATTGGCCTACGTTTATTTTTCAAAGATAATTATGAGATGGATGACAACATATTTGTAGATGCGGTAGATTACATATTGGGTGAAGATTTTCGACTTGATGCTAAACATTTAAATCGTGTTCATGAAGAACTGGAAAAATTAAATATTGCAACGGATGTAATCAATAAATTGGAGTTACAGCTTGATGAAGCAAGATCTACTTTCAGGTATTCATATTTTTGCATTGCGTCGCATCATGGTGTCCTATAAGTGTTTTACGAAACTTTTGAAGGGAAAGTAAAGGGATGTATGGGAGGTTGAAATTAAATTTCTCATAATGTTGGTTCGATTCGTAATATTCATATTAATAGATCTGATTATATTTGACGTAGTCAAAATTGTATTTCAGTATGGAAGCATTTTTGGGTTTTAGGTATTATTTTTGCTTCCAGAAAAATTCAAGCTTCCTGGTCTCAAAAATTGAATGAATTAAGTCGTAAATATGGTTCAGCAATTGCAAAAGGTCGACCCTATTATGAAGCAAAGCTCAAGGTAAATTTGACAGAATTTTTTGTCAGAACCGTTTATTAAATTAAATGAAAGATGGTACAGTTTTAAAGGATATTGATTTGGTCGTATTTGTTCAGGAAATATAATAATTATTAATTTGTTTAGTGATATCAGTAATCTTTTAATTATTCGGTGCGGTATAATTTGACAATGCTAGGCATATTTCTGTATGTTAAATTTCTTTTGATAAGCAGGTATGCTGAGGAAATCTGAAATCTGAGTAATAGTTATTAATGATTACTGGTTATGTAGTCGTCTTCAAGCTGTTTCTTTAGAATTTTGCGGAAAAAATGAAACCATTTTTCTAACATTCTGAGAATATATGTAAGAATATATGTGAGAATATATGTGTCTTTTTTAAGGAGAGACGGTTGCGTGAGGAAGCGCAAAATGCTGCGATACGTTTCGAGCGTGCCAATTCAATGCATGCAGTAGCAAAGCAGCAAGTGAAGTTAACACAGGATAGTTTGAATCGACAACGAATTATTGAACCAGAATGCTTAGAGGTTCAGTTCGATTCATTCGTACTAATGCTTTCTGTTACTACCATTAATATTACCGCATTTATTCTACTTTATTAATGCTCATTTTTATTTTGAAATTAACGATAAGGCAGTCATAGATACATCTTTATGCCATAATGTTGCTATCACCACTAATTTTATTACATCACTTTATAATGTGATCTATATATGGATGTTATAGCTGGATGGAGTGAAGCAATTTAACTGTTTCAAAATTTTAAGAAATCTTAAAATATTATGATTTAAGTGATTTCAAAAGTGTATGCATCTGTAACTATCATTAGAGATGGAATTAGTGAATTTATAATTTTTGCAGGTATTGAATCATCATATTCAACGTGTAAACGAAGCGAAACAAGAACGTGTATTGGCTGAAGAGATACATCGCTCGATTTCGGATCGTATGACACAGTTATCAAAAGAAATTGCACAAATGCTAGAGGAAAATGCTCGGTCTGTTAAGAAAAGCCGACATTATTTCGAGCAGCGTATCGAATTTACAAGAATTTTGGAACATCAAAAAAATCTTATTCTGAAGCTTGAATCTGAGGTTGATTATGACATTCTTTTTTCATTTCCATCCGTAAAGATTTTTGGATATTACAGTGAAGATTTGATTATTCTCAATAATGCTGATAATTTATAGGTGCGTCAGAAAAAGTATGATTATACATGTTCGTTGAGAAATTTGGAGCAAATATCAGATGCTATACATGAAGAGCGAAGTGTATGCTTTTTTCTGTGATTTTATGCAAGGAATGAATGTTGATATTGTAAATTTTGCTTAGTGCTATATTTTAATCATACTTCGTTAACCACAGAAATCAAATCGTCGTTATTTATAAGGCTTTTTGTCAAATCTCATTGATATTTATCTCATAATGTTTAGTAAACGATGACATAGGCGATAGTTATTAAAATGTTCTGCGCTAAAATATCATGTTTTATAGTTGTCAAATGTAAGACGTGAACCTGGCATTGGTTGCGAATCTCCTGACTTACCATCTTGTGAAGTAGCATTTAGTAAAGAAAAAGCACAATGTCGAGTTGAAGAAGAGGAAGAAAGATGTAAAAAGGTTATGACAAATCCTGTTTCTCTCGATGGGATTAAAGTGGCTTTTGATCAGGTACGTTTATCTTTTACTGATTTTTTTTCCAATAAAAAAATGAAAAGTTAAGATTATTTTTCCTGTAGGGAAATTGTTTTTGATTATTTCTAGAAGTATTACTTAAAATGATTTAGCTTTCATGGTAGTACAGTGTGCTTTTTTCTCGAATTGTCCAATCTGTCACTATGAACATAGAAATGCGTTTGTTATAATATATTATATTATGAAATATTTATTATTTTTCAGCTTACTTTGGATTGTGATAAAACAATCGATCCTGCTCTATTTGATGATTCACCTGAGGGAACAGACTCAGGGACAGTTAAAGATGGGTCCCTTGGTTCTGGTGTTATATTACTTGCGCAACAATTGATTCTTAGTCAGGGTAAATCGAAACAAAGCAATAAAAGCATTAGGTAAATTACATTGCAATAAATATGCAATACATTAAAACCATAACTCTTGCCTTTTATTTGTTGTTCAAGTATAAACTATTTTAAGTATCACTTTATGTCATCGTGGTTATTCTTTTAAAATTCGTGTAGCATACTAGTTTGGAAGATGTCATTAACGGTAAATATTTAGGTTGTCACCAGATTTGACTGATTTTCGATATCGTACCGAATTGCCCGAGGGTGCAACAGCAACTATTTCTTTGCCTGATGGCAATGATAGCGATAGCTCATTGGAAAGCGATAATACGGGAGTAACGATGAACACGGATGATTTATCAGGAATGCTTCGAAGCCATTCTCAAATGATTGAAGTAAATTGCATGATGTATCTTTCACTATAATGAAAATGGGAAAGCAATAGCTATACAGAAATGAGAATTGTGAAATAATAAATTACTGCTCTGCAAATTTTATAATTTAATTTATGACCATTTTATGTACTTCTCTTCAACTTCTTCAATATGTAATAGATCGTGAACGTTTTTTTGAATACTGTGTAGTGCTTCATGATATAGGCATGTTAGCAAAAGAAGAGCTAATATTTATAGTGCATATGTTCAATTATTTAGTAAATAAAGTTTATTTTTCAGGAAATTGATGAATTTGCTCAGCGTACCGAAGCTATATTGCACAATAATTTGAACGTTATTCAAAGAAATGGAAATGATGATGTAGAGCGAGATAGTGGTCATAGTTCGTCGAGTTACTAGTCATTTTTTGCATTTCTATATTCTTTCATGATTATCGTATCTTTTTCTCTTCTAACATTAGAATTGTTTGATGAATGTTAATTTCTTATAATGTGACTTTGTTGAACGTATTTTGATAAGCTTATTAACTAATCAAAAGAGTAAAACAAATTGACAGTACAACGTTCTTCAATCTTTTTGACATCTTGCCACGTTTGAATAACCTCTACTTAGACTTATAATTTCATATACTATACGGGTAGTTGAAATTGTCGAGTATTCCATCTACTTAGTTCGTTCTACATGTATATGTAGTTCTTGAAAACGTTTTAATTACTTTCGTATTGTTATAGAGATAATTTTACCAAGCAATTTTGTACCTGGAGATATTTAGGCATTAACATTTTCAGGTTTGTATTATCTTGATAAATGATGGATATGATCAAACGAGTTCGAAATCATTGATGATAAATAGATGATAAAAAGTAATTTCTAAAGAACAGAATTCAGTTTTCTGAAATAAGTCTTATCCATTGTCTATCATTCAGTCATCAGATTATAAACTTATGCATATTTCAGTGCATTTTATGTTTTTTCATAGTACTTTTATAAGGTCTTTCACAATTGAAAGCGTAATAGTCATTTGTTTGCTGTGATTATAATTGTTCTAGATTTTCGAAAATTTTTAATTATTTTGAAGAATTTTTCATTGTCAGGAAAATGTCATATTATGTTGAAAAGTGTCGAGAAGTTTTGCATACTTAAGAAAACAAATTGCATTCAACATTCCCAACAATGTTTTCATTCATCTAACAATAATGATTCATTTTAGAAATAAAATTTTAAGAGGAATTTATTTAATTTTCAAGAATTTCTTATATCTTGTTAAATATTTATGAATACATATGAAAACATTTGTAATTATTGATCACATTATATATATATATAATCTTTATTTTATTTGATTTCGTCTATTTCAATATAGTTCAATTTATTTCATTCATCTCTTTAATGAGCTATCAGTTATATTTCTCTGCTAATGAAAATGATAAATATTTAGATCCGTCAAATAGTTGGGAAGTAATATTGATTAGATGAAATCAGACATAAATTTTCATCGCTTTAAATTGTTAAATCTTGATCCGAGCTGTATCAAAATTTAACGATTTTTTTCAATATTTAACTAATTTTTTTCTATGTATCATTATTTCAAAGCAAGTGCACTATATTTGTTCAGATGTGATGTATTGCCAAAATATTTCATAGGAATATTCACGTGTTTGCTATGCATACGTTTATATCCAATTATATATGTGACGCTATTTTGATAAAGTGTTTGACAATTTTTACTGATAAAATCATTTCATTGTTTACTTTAACACTTTTTACATTTGTATCAGTATAACTCAGCAGCGTTATTTGTTTAAATCACTCAATTGTTTTAAAAAGAAACTAAACGGATTGGTAAATGTAGGGTGGCAGGAATTCGAATTGTAGCTTTTATTTTTGGAAATTTATAATGATGGTATATTAAGTAGTTTAAGCTGTGCATTGATAATTGCTATTGTTATAGAAGCGGTAACTTTCAAATAATCTAAAGGAATTTTAAAGAAAAATATAAATCAATTAGTATAAGTTTAAGTTTGCAGTTAGCATAAGTTTAAGTTTATTTTTTCAATTAATATAAGTTTAAATAAGATTTTTTTAGTATAAGTTTAAGCCTGTAAAAATTGATTTCTTTCTAATTCAGTGTTTCATGGAGTATACATGAGTTTATTGAAAGGCCTAAACAATTTTGTTGAACATTTCAGAAATCATGACATACCGTTGGAACATGAAGTAGTCAAAGTGATTTCTTGAGATTTTATTTCACTATGACAGCATTATTGAGTGGAAGCAGTAATAAAGTAATATCGTTAATGGTTAGAAATGGTTCCGAAATTACGAAACGTGGCATTGCAAGGATACCGCATTGGGAATATCATATCAGGTATTGTAGAGGCTTTCACATAATCATTAGTAAGACAGAGCAGTCATATGAAATATTGTGAATTTTCTTTTCGATTGGTTATTGATCTTGATCTCAAGCATACGTGGTCATCATGTAACAAACTGACAATATATTTTTGATAATTCTTATACGAAGTAATTAAAGCTGCATTATTTATAAATTTTCACATCTAATATTAAGCTTTTATTTTTTATGTGACAGTAAAGCCATGTTTCATACATGACGAGTTTCTTAGAATATTTTTCAGTTTTATTTGTCGTGATTTCTTTGCTGTTCTAGGTTTGATCCAAAAGAAGGGCGCAAAAGACCTTGTCAAGATGTACTGGATCGTTTTAAACGGCTTAATAATGGCATGTGGATACGTGGACAAATGGGAAGGAATGTGAAACGGTACAGCAAAGATGATATCTTTTTAAATGTTAGTTTCTTAAATCTTTATTTCTTTTATTCTTGGAGGCACTATGAACTTTAAGTGATAGCTTCAAATTCGAATGAATTTAGAAAGAATTTTCAATAATCAAGATATTCTACCACTCTTTCTTCAAAGGATAGCTATAAAAGCACTTCTGAATTAAGTATTAGCATGAGAGTGAAATCCTAATGCGACATTTTGCCATTTCTACATTTATAAATAAATTGGAAATATTTACGGCAATTATAGACAACTTATTATTATGAAACGTGTACAAAAGAGGAGTGCTGGATGTTAGATCGCATGATGTCACCATTTTGGTTACGACCGAAATACTACATCGATGATCCTTATGAGGTTATAATTTTTCTAACTGATTAATTTTGCAAAATATCAGGTTTAATTTATAATAAAACATAGTTTAAAATGTTTTGTTGTAGCCTTACCATGTAAGACATGGAATTAAATCACCAAGGATCGGTTTGAATGGTAAATTTGCAAGAGAACGTCCAAAAATTTTGCTGGAAGATACTATTGCGGATCGTTACTTTCGCGATCGTTAGATTGATTTTAAACATTATCCGTCATATAAGCCGAATGACGATCTTTATTGTTTGGTGAGTAGAAAATGATGCTGTATTGACTTACTGCTATTATTATCATGTTGTTTAATAAAATATTCGACTGTGAACAGTTGAGATCATAGTATCATCAAAAGTTATTTGTGACATTACGATAATATTATTAAAAATCACATTTATACATCATACTTATTCTAAGAAAATTTTTTATCGGCGTTTTTTGACCTTTCTTTTGGAGCTTTTCTTGGAACTTTTTCCTGGGCTGCAACAAGAAAATAAAAGAAAAAAGTTCATATAAACAATTTTGCTCTTCATATGTATAAATTTGCATTGTCCATTTTGAAGTCGAAAAATATTTTACTCTTCAGAATAGCTTAAATATGCAAATGTAGCATCATATTTCTTTTAGCACACAAAACATAAACTAATATAAAGTATTTCTAAAATAGACATTCGCTTAATATTTTGTTCGTTGTTTAATATTCACAACAATTTGCAAATGTGAAATTTCGTTCAAATATTTATAATACTTACCTTCTCGCTTTTGCTTGTAATCTTTGGGCAAAAGATTGGGGAGATATTGGACTGGTATAATTTGTTTGCATATTTTGATTCATTTGTATTGGCCTGATAGCGGTGGTAGTTGTTTTTTCACTGACATCTCTCCTATAGAAAAAGGAAAAAGATTTGACAAACAGAAAATGAAAAGTTCATGTTTTCCTTCCACTGAATATATCAATCAAGAATGTTATTTATATCAATAAGAATTGCAAGAGATCAATGAAATAACGAAATATAGGAAATGTAACTTACTTCCCGGTTAATCGCATCATTACAGCTGCTACGGTGTACATCGTTGGCCGTTTAGTGATATCCGCATTCCAAGTTTGCTTACAAAGTTGTTGAAGTTGAATTGGTGCCATAGGAGGTATCGTTAATCGACTACCTTTTAGAACCTATCATGAAATATAAATAATATTTTCAAGGTAAGTAAGAATTTATGAGCTCATTTTCTTTCCTGTTACAATATATTATTCTCTAAGAAAAGAGGTAAATCAAAAAAGTTGACTATTAAAAAATTATTTTGAAATTTTGAAATTCAAATAGTGAATTTAATAAATTTAAATGTTGTATCATTTGTTTTTTTTTTAAATGACAATTTCATTATTTCACATAGGTGTGGAAGAAATTTGATTAATTCCATTACTTCAATTTTAACACGTGCTCGATCCCAGTCTGGATACGGCTCGATAGCATTATTGAAAATTTCCCAGACCATAACAAAAAAAGCCCATGTATCAGATGGGAATGAATAGATTAGCGTACGGAATACCTCAAATTTGATGGGAATATTTCTTTTATAATTAAAACAATTGAAAATTATCAGAAAAAAAAAGTGTGAAACATAAAACAAAACAATTAGTAATCAATTTTGAATTGGCATGCCAATTTCATGTTTAAATGAAAATTAACATTATTAGCAAGGAAAATGATAAGCTTGAAAATTTAAAATAATAATAAGAAATAATGAAAATTACCTCAGGTGCAACCCATCGAACAGGTGCTTTATCGGTAGGTTGCAATTTATATTGGGGTCCATAAATAGACATACCAAAATCGCTCAATTTAACCACTTCACCTGTATATAAACAATTACGAGTTGCCAAATCTCTGAAATAAAAATTTCAATTAGTAGCACTCTCATTCTTTCCATTGTTCTTAATTATGATAGTAATAAAGTGACGATAGTAATGTCAAATTCAGATTATTTTGCAACAATTAAATTTCAATTTTAAATCTGAATCATTTATGTGGGTTGAATTTCATACGGAAGAAATGGAGTAAAATGAAATTTGAAATTTAACGAATGAATAAAATTATAATAAATAATTTGTTTAATATGTATTTTTGAATAGGATTATTATATATGAAATAATATTAAGTGATATTTATAAGATTTAAAATTAAAAATTATGAGAAGTTTAAAAACAATAAGCATTTATTTCATTCATACTTAAAACGCTAATTAAAATAATGAAATAGCTAAATTTTTTTGAATTGGAAATTAAATGATGATCGATAAAAGAAAGAGGAATCATAAACCTATGCATAATATTTTGGCCATGTAAATAGGCAAGGCCACAGGCAGCATCACAAATCATCGATAGTTTAATTTTCATTGAAAGATTGCTACCATTTTTTTTAAGGAATAAATTTAATGCACCTTCCTAAATTTCTCAAAATATAAAACTAAAGAATTTTATAAATATCATATAAATGAAATGTGCATTTTAAATTTTGCTATTAAAGAGTAGAGTTTATTAATTAGAGTATAAGTGATAATACCTTAACAAGTTCCATAACAATCATTAAAGGTTCTCGTCTATTAGCAACACCATAAAAGCGAACAATATTTTCATGTCTTAAATTTCGTAACATTCGAACTTCGCACATCGCTTCTAATACTTTTTCCTTTGTCATCGCATCACATTTAAGCTTAGAAATTAGAAAAGTAGTAAATATATTTATTAGATTTCTTTGATTGTTATTTAATTAAATTTAAATTTAAAAAAATTAAAATAATGCGATATCATTGAAATTAATGAAAAATAGTGAAATTTGTGGAAAATGCGACAATGATAGCGAAATTCGCAGAAAATTGTAATAAGGATAGCGAAATTCGCAGGAAATGTAACAATGATAGCGAATTACATCAAATTAATTTTACATTCATCGATTTGAAAAATATTATTAAAATTATTGAATGATTGAAATTTAAATATTTTCAGGGAAAAAAGTGAATTTTAAATTTATACAAATAAATTCATTATTGCTTACAACTTTGACAGCAGCTTTGACACAAAATCGAGGAGTAAGTGAAAGATTAGCAGAATGAACTTCACCAAATGCGCCTTCGCCAAGTTTTTGAAGAAGCTCCAACTGTTGATGTTTCAATTCCCATGGCTGTCACAAAGAAAAACATCAAAAATATCACTCACATTTTACTCAAAGAAAATTCCGCATATATGTAAGGATCATATCGATATATTGTAACAAAAAAAGGAAAAAAACTTTCTTGGAGATTATATCATCTGGAATTTTCCGTAGTAGAAATCTAAGATGTGATGATATCACGAATCTTTTAATACACCAAGAAGATATTATATCATATATCAACATCTTATTATCAAGATAACTAGTTAATCATTAGTATAGTAGATTTTATTTTTCAGCCGAACGAAGTTGAAAAATAGACATTAAACATTTGATTTGAATCGCACTATCTTCTAATCATGCATAGAAATATTCCGGGCAGTATCGTTAATTAATTATTCATTTTTCATTAAATATTTTTAATGTTTAATGAATGAACTTTTAGGTCATGCTAACTGAATACGTTTGATTATTATATTAACGATGTGCAATGAATTTAGTTGGAAATGAAAATTTCGTTAGGAAAAAGTTGAAAATTTTGTTGTCCTGAAATTCGAAATATCTTACAGCTTTGGAAATAATTGCCAAAGTTGCGGCTCACAAGCAATTGTTGCTCATTAATTTGATTTCTTTGATAATTATTTAATTGAACTTATGATTAATTATTATCAGGAGCAATGATAATCAGCGAAGAAAAGAAAACATACTTGTGCAACGATTGGATTCTTTAATAATACACTTTGATTTAGTATTTTGAATTTATGATGAGCATAATAATTAACCAAATCGGTGATTGAAGGAAATGTATGGTTAGCTTTCATCCCATACTGATTCTTTGTTTTATCATAATGTAAAATGATATGATGCTTACCATGCCATGCAATTGATAAACAGAGCTTAAAGATGAGATAACTTTAATTAATGATATGATATAACTTAATTAAGAAAAATAAAAATCTTTTTTTTTTTAAATTGAACTTTAAAAGCAACGAACAAATAATTGATTAAACATATCTTAACATATTAGACTGATGACAACTTCAATATAAGCCTCTTCATTTATTACTTTATGATAACTATGTGATAAATTCTGTGATAATTTCATACATCTAATTTCAAGCATAGAATGTTTCAGATATCTATTGATAAATGAATTATATATAAAAGTTTTGTTATATGATCTCTAAGGTAAAATTAAACAAAGGATAGAAAAAGAATACATAAAAATTAAATAAGCCATATTTTAATTAGATATAAAATTTGAATTAAATGACTAGTAAGATTTGTTCATACAAATCTTTTCAATTAAACATTGTTTTTTCGTAACATTTACTCTTCCAGAAGAACATACCTATAATCTTATTATATAATTAATTAATTGAAATAACTGTATCTCTTTAACAATTTTCATCATCATTTTTTCTTTCCCAATTTATATCATTTTTAAAATCAATGCAAAAATTATTTAACAACAATAATTAAGATTTATTACGAATATTTTATACGCATGCCACGTATATAAAAGTATTCAAAAAAAATTCTATCCCATCAATTTTAGCATAATTTTAGAGGAATGTAAATGTAATAATGATATTATCATAAAAGCATTCCAAAATTACCTGACGATCTTCACCAGAAGAAACCTCAGTAGTTCGTAGCAAGAAATCACCATCAAGTACACAGAGCATATTAGCATCTTCACGTGGTAAAAATCTGTAAAAAAATATTTCGAATGAAGTTTAAAAATTAGCTGTTAAAAAATAACTCTTTGATAACGTAAGTAATATAATTAACGTGAGTTACGCTTATGTTTAGATATATTGTCGTTATTGTTTTAGTACATAAGGAATATTAGTTTTTCTTTTAGATATGTAGAAATTATTGAAAATGAAATGAAACAATGAACCCATGGAAGTAATCATCTTCATCATCACCCGTAAATGTTGACGGAATAACAGTTGCAGGACGAGGAATGATAGCAGTAACTTTGGCTGCCTTTAAGCCAGTCTTTATAACACCTTCACCTTGTTTCGTTGATGCAAATTGTGTTGCGATAGATTTTATTGCTGGTGACTTTGTTATCGTAGATTTTGCTATTGGTGATTTCACTTTCAACGGTGATTCTTGTATCACTTTTGGTGATATTTGAACTGGTGATAATATATTTTGATTTAATGCTGATAACCTTAACAATTTATTATCAGCTTGCTTTTTTGTATCTTTTTCATCTTGTTTTTTTGTTTCTTTTTGTACAACACTTGGCATTTGTGACAATGTTTTCTCCAATTCAGCTTTTACTAAACTTTTCTGCGGTTCTTTTGTTGACAGATTTGTCGTAAGCTCCTCCTTTTTACATATCTCACCACTATCAATAAATATTTGTGATTCCGTATTTGTTTTCATTTCTTCTCCTAATGTTTCGATTAATTTTTTGTCCACTTCTTTGTCCATCTTTTTCTCCTCTTCTTTGTCCACTTTCTTGTCATCCTCAATAATAATTTCATGTGACCCCATGCATTCAATTTCATCTATCTAAAAATATTTTAATTTATACGCCAAATATTTAAAACTAAAACAAATAAATTTTACAGTAATAACAGTAGCATTTGATAAACTATATTACGGTATAAATAATTTTAAATCAATTAAATTTGATATGTTTCAAATTTTTGTTTTTAAACATTATACACATAATTTGCATAGTAAATTTTGATGAAACAATATTAATGATTGGAAAGATAAGCAAACTTTTTCATCAGATACAATAATACTTAGTTGTGTAATATCTTCTTCATCTTCTACATTCAACGAATCTGACTTATCTTTTTCATTTTTCGTTTGCTTCAATTGTAAAATGTTCTAGAAATAATTAAGCAATAAAATATATAATTTATACATTTAATATATGGAAAATATTTTTTTAATTAACCAAGTTTCATTACAGTAATAATTTTTCTTTAGTAAAAAATTTAATTTTTTATTAAATTTATCATTCTTCCATTAACTATTTAGTTTTCTTTAT